ATGATACTAAATTTGCCGGGAAACCGCCTACTAATTCATATATTTGGTAAATTTGTTTCTCTCATGGTCTGTGAGAGATATAGGGTAGTCCCATATACGTCTTTCTGTGTATAGTGCTTGTAACTTTACGAAGAATGGGCCAAATTTCTTATCATTTTGATGATTCCAGAACCTTGCAGATGCTAGATGCTAGATGATCAACCTTTTCTGATCGATTCCACAACGTTTCTTTCACAATGCAATCGCATGACCATAACTGGTCTTTACCTTTAACTGTTTCCAGTGTAAGATTAATCTATTAAGGTATACTGGGGGGGGGGGGGTGTTTTACAAAGATCCTATTAAGTTGAACCTATCTCTAAGTTGGACTTAAAAAAATATGGAAAGCCGTTAGCATCTATGAAAATATTTTGTAAAAGTTAGTTTAAAAAGCATAACATGTTGATTCAAATCATTCAAATCTTCTATTATCAAGGAGATTTCATGTTTTTGATGCGGAATTTATAAAAAGTCTTAAATACTTGGAATTGCCACTTATGAGTATATTTCATTTTAAGGCTACAAATGGCTCTCCATAATATTTAAGCCCAACTTAGAGTTAAGTTTGACTTCGGATCTTTGTGAAACACCCCCCTGGTGTTTTAAGGGTTGTTATGGAGCTAATCAAGACAGGATACTGGTAAATTTGCCAAGCCATTGTGTTGCTCAAAGTAATCCTTTCGTCTATTGATGCCTGCCTATTGTTTGTCCAAAATTGCATGTATGGCACATGAGTGACCACGCAGAGAAGCGAAGAAAGCGACTGAAGTGTTAAACCATGGTCCATGGTTAAACGGGGCTCAGGCTCTAAGTTAGGCTTAGTGTTAAAGGTAATACAAAGTTTTGGGAAATTTTGAAAATTGGGTAGATAGTGATTCTTTACAATTTTGATATAGTATGATGCCCCTTTGGATGTATTATAAGCACAAGAAAACTTAGGCCCTAAAATACTTCCGCTTTTGAGAAAAATTGAATATAAAAATTTACCGGTGCTCCTGGTAAATTTTTATAAATTTCAAATAGCGCCTACGGCCGTACATTGGTAGCTGCGACCATGAAAATCTCAGAATATGTATTTGTGATATGTACTTTCCAAACGGGAATAGCTAATCTGTCGATCACAGTCAAAAAAACATTGTTTTATAGCTTAATTAATATCTTGACCTTGAGAGGGAGCTATACAACATAAAGAGTTTATTATTTACAATTTCATAACTTAAGCCTCCATTTCGACCGCGACAACGATCACTGAATGTTGTAAGACTGCATCTGCTTCCACTATGTTCATTTGAACCAAATGACCACATACCAAAACTTTGTATTACCTTTAACAGACATACCACTGCCACTGGTATCATGCTTTTGTAACATACAGTATGGATTTCAAGAGATTCACAACATGATCTGCAATTTAGGAGTAAGTGTCGGCCAGAGTGGTACGTGGCGTGCTCTGACATTTGCTTTGGTGATCGCTGTTTCATCAAAAGTATACTAGGCATCTGTTAGTATCGCAATATGGTTTTCGGCAAGGCTAGGGTAGGGTTGCCACTGGAGTATTGGCTCAATTTTATCATATAATCTATAGAAATCAAGGGGTCAGTGACACAAGGCCAAATAAAAAACAAAACATGTTTAGCGTCCAGCCCTTTTGAAAAATAGGAAGGAGGATGCCTTTTTTTTCCTTCTTCTTCTTCAAAATGGCCGCTCGGTCCATATTTCCCTGACAGTCAGGCTATTTTTCAAGATGGCTGCCAGCATTTTTTTTAAACTTCAGGAAAAGATCATTTTAGCAGTATGTTTTTCATGTTTTTTCATAAAAAAAAAAAAAGGAAAAAAAAAATGGATAAAAAAGAAAAGAAAAAAAAAGCAGGCGGCCCCCAAAAAGAAGTGGGCAAGGACGCTAAACATGAAGAAAAAAAAAGGCCTAATCTAAGTTTTAGGGCTAAGCGTGGGCCAGACTGGTGTTCTGGCCTTTACTTTGGCGAAGGTTTGCTGGAGGCATTATGTAACTTCAAATTTAATTAAGGGTTATGGTTATAGGTTGCAATTCGGTTTCAGGTTTATAGGTTTACGGTTGAGACTGAATGGTGTTGGGTCGTGGGTTAGTGTAGGAATTACTGGTAACTGCAAAGCAATCGTCACATGAGTATGTGTCACTCGTGTTATTTGCCAGTGTACATGCCATGGTGTAAGAGGGACAATGGGGAATCCCCTGTAATCTACGAGGTGTTTGCTTTGTAGTTTAAATCCCCAAATGTCAACACTGCTAAAATGTGACAAACAGATTGGATTCATCATCCACGCACTCCCTTGCCACACATCTGGATTCCCATTATTAACATGTATTTACATGTACATCACTTTCATCATAAACCTCAATTAAAAAAAATACCCATGAGATAATCACTCAACTACCCCAAATCATGCAATCCCCGGTTTTCCAAGCTTTCTATTGACATTCCAGCCTCCTTTGTTGCCATTGTTATACAGAGTTCTGGGTTTAGAAAGCCCAATTTTATTACCAGGTATTGTCCTTGTCAGCCTGCTTGGAATGTCAACAAATATTTAGTCGATCTGTTTTTTTTGGGGGGGGGGGGGTGGAGGAGATTCTTCCTTCACAGAAATTCATACCGGTACTTATCAAACCTGTCTTTATTTAGCAGCCATCTCTTTATAAAGGCTACCTGTCTATAGTGATCCCCTGTATTGCCACCCTTTAGAAGGAAACGTGTGGAATCACCTGTCTATAAGGGCAACCTGTCTACAGTGGCAACTTTTTGTGTTTCCCTTGGGTGACCGTAATAGACATGTTCAACTGAATTTTGTTTTTAATATTGCTATAAACACATTTTGTGCAGTCGCTGGTTGCTTAGCAACTATCACCAAGCATGTTGATGCTAGTAAAACCATGATGTTCGTACTGCATTGCATATGGGTCTATTCTTGAAGATTCCAAATCAATAATTGCAACACATCAGTGATAGGCTTTGTATGAGTAATCCGCATCATCCTATTGTTTCATTGTACACTCTAACAAAAGTCATTGTGCAAGTTGTTGCATAATTTGAAGAGACTTCCTGCATGTATTTCAACCCATCTGTCGTTTTATATGTCACCTCATTGTTGGTGTCAAGCTGGTTTTGCAGGGGAATACCCTAGCTGTAATGTTGATGTATGACCATTTTGGTTAGGAAATGGCATTCAAAGCTGCTGTAAAAAAAAAAAAATATATATATATATATATATTTATCGCCAAAAAAAATGATGTCTTTGTGTTCCATAATACCAATTGCTGCTATAAATAGGAATTTACAAGGGGTAAGTTTAGAGACATTACCAGTATTATGAACAATGATGTTAATCAACAATAGCAGATATTAGATGATGTGAAATTAACAACCTATATAATAATAATTAATAACCTGTATACATGTACATGTAGGTGGGTGCTTCATATCTAATATACATCATTAGCCTTATGTGTTTATGTTCATTTCTAATCTGTACATGTACATGTCTATATACAGAAGTACATGTACATACATGTAAGGTCATGTTGAAATCGAGGCCATATCCAAATTTGTCAAAAACAACTTCCTTTGAACCCAAACACATTTCCCAATAAAATGGACAAAAATAAATCTCCTATAATAAAAGGTGAATGCCCCAAATCTTCACGTACATGTAAACTCATTACAGATTATAAATACCATTGATGCATAATTGCATAATGACATCCATATTTTCCCCTCAATGCAAGATTTCTATAGGCCAATAATTTGTGATTGCCAAAGGGGGCAATAACAACCCATGTCAATAACAAGCTAGCATGATGATAATAACGCTACCAGGGATGACACATTTGTGTGCACTGAAGCATGTCCGAGCGCCCATGCACGCTTTCAGAAAATAGACTCGTGAGATAGTCTTATCAATCCAGACCTTTTTTTCATTTATTAGTGGGGTGTTCAAAATGGTTTACATGTAGTCCAATGTCAATAATGATTCCAATCTTTATTTATTTATTTATTTATTTATAATTATTATTACCTTTTTTTGGTGGGGGGGGGGGTGCTTTGTTAAAAACTGGTTTATCATTAATTAAGAATGTGTTTGACCAGTTAAAGCCAAACAGTGTCTCATTAAAGAAACTCATGGACTCATGGAATCTGGATGTTTAATTGCTAACTTTTATGTACATGTATGTATGAAAAGTAGAGTACCTTCAATGCAAGTGAATTATTTTTCATGATTATTTGCATTCATTCTGTTTGGAAATGATTTGTTTATGTTTTAAGTCTTAAAATTAACATATCCGCATTGTACTCAATGCATAATACTTTTGAAAATTCTGCTAATCCTCCTGTATAACATTAGAACTTGGTATCGTCTGTTCCAGCCAGAAAGGCATTAACTCATATAATTTAAAACAGAGTTAGTGTCCTTCTTGCTCTTACCGGTAAAGCTAATGTACTATTCCTGTCTTTCTACCGTATAGGTAGGCATCAGTTATGATTACATTGGTAATTCTTTTGCTAAAGCATAGAGTACCAAAGCTGTGATGTCATAAAAATCTATTCTAATGGTTGGGAGCCAGAGCATATTTATAACACTGAGTTCCTATAGGAAATATATTTATTCAGATGGTCATATCTCAGCCAATACTTAACTTATTAAATTGTTTTTTATGCTTTTTCGGGAAATGTAGAAAAAATTGAGAAATTCTAAAAATAGAATTTTGATGACATCACACTTCACCACTCTATATGACTCTCCATGCCTAGTATTAGTAAAGTAGTATTACAACAAAAGCAATTTTGTAAGACACACAAAGGGTCTGAAACTACAGAATACATGTCACCCCTATTGGGTTAATAATAAACCCAAATGACACACACCTTTCTGTACACAGATACACACACACAGATTACTCCGTTCATAACCCCTACGCAATCTCCAAGCTGCCCATAGGCGCCTTCAATACAGGGAGCTCGTGTGTCATTATTCCCTGGCTGATTAATTGGTAGGGGTTCCCAAACGTAAACTTGGTCGCCGATATAAACAAGTGTAGACGCACCGAGACGCTCATATACCACTACGATACCACCGCAACTGGATGGTTATACCTCTTATACTCCATGGTTATACACTGAGTGACTCAGTGTGAGGAGTATTAAACAGTGAACTTGGCTTTGTGGAGCAGATGTGTACAAGCCTGCATTTTCTGATTTGGAATTTATTTGCAAACAAGCAAAGGAGATATATTATAGACGTATTGAAGTACCTGATTTACAACGAGTATTGATTTTCGTGGCCAATTTGAGCAGCAGAAACTAGAAAATTTTATCTTGATGGTTGTGATTAATTAACATTTCTGTTCAAATTGTATTTTTGGTTGTGGTGACCTGGAAACTGGATGAATTGTAATTGGATTATTATTCATACACCTCAAAGTTATGGTAAGAATATGAAATCACTTTATTTACATTTTGATATATGTAAATATGTTTGGGATGATATTACTTTGGACATGTAAGTTGTACTTTCATGAAGGATGACATGGTTATCTTTAATAGGCCAAATTACAAAAATAATGTGTTTCTCGTCCAGACTTTAAAAAAAAAAGGAGGAGGCAAAGCATCACTATTTACTATTCTGCAATTTCTTTGCCATTTTTTTCCAAGATGGCTGCATGCTAATTATAGCTGGCCAAGCCTATTTATTCACAGATATTGTGCTATGTGAGTATACTGATGCAATTATGTAATATGTATGACAAAACAAATGATTTGTACCACTTTAGAAGCTATTTAAACAAAATGTATATCACAGGCTTTTTTTTTCTTCTTCTTTTTGGCTTTTTGTTTTGTTTTTTTGTTTCATCTTCTGAATAGTAAATACGATAGTAAAAACAAAAAGGAAGCGGCGGCCAAAAAGGAGGCAGCGGGAAACAGAAACACTTCATTTTTGTTATTTGGCCTTACATGTTTCACTGTACTAGTCTCAATATACTACACGATTGCACCTATTTTTTAAATCAACTCAAATCAACTAAAGGACAGTCAGGGGCAGTTTCAATACCATTTCCAATTACTTGTAGAGATAATCCCGATGGCAGCTATCATACAGCTAAACTCCAATACAAATCATAATGACATTCAGTTCTTGTATAGCGCATATCACATCATATGGTGTCCCTATGCGCTTCCAAAGAGCTTTGGAAATAGTAACCCTAGCTTTGCCTTTAGCTCCGGCAAATGTTATCAGCGGACAGTGCATTTTAAGGAATAACCCTACCAGGTATCCATTTACATGTACCTCACCTGGGTCGTGTGTGGCAAATGTAGATACCAAAGGACATTAGTGCCGCGGCAGGACTCGAACCACAGACCTTGTGATCCACAGTACGGTGACATATCCACTCGACCAAGACACCTCTATCATGATCAGAAATGTACATACATGTAATACTTCATTGTCAAGTTCACACGTATTGCAATAGGTGACAGTCATTGCAAGGCTATTGAAATTGCTTTACCGGTAGTTGAGATTGTGTTATACCGGTACTTGACAGGACATGTTTACATGTCTGTCTTTGACAATAATGTACTGGATAATGGGTAGGCATTCATATTTCACTATAAAAAACTTAGAACCATCTTTACTTCACAAAGAAATATATATTTGAGGATATGATATTTTTTATCCATTGCTACATTTGCATCAATGTAAATGTGTGAGTTACAGAGAGAGAGAGAGAGAGAGAAAGATTGAGAGAGAGAGAGAGAGAGAGAGAGAGAGGGACTGAAGGTGAAATTGAGAGAGAGAGAGAGAGAGAGAAAGGGGGAGTGATAGAAAGGGAGGGAGAGACTCTGGAGGGAGGGAGGGAGGGAGAAAGAGAGTCGAGATAGTCAAACAGAAAATTTGAAGAAAACATGTACATTTTTTCCAAATCGAAATGAACTTCAATTTCTTTTTTAGATCAGATTTTCTATACATTTCATTCAAAGTTTTACGATATGTTTTTTTTTTCTAGAGCCAAGATGATGTTACCTTCAAATTTTTACTTTACAAAGGAATACATATTTTATGATAATGTATTATATATTCATAAATATGTTGCTACATTTGCATCAATGTAACTTTTTTCTCCATCTTAACAAACTTCAGTTTCTATTTCAATTGGATTGTTTGATGTATTTTATTCATAGTTTTGCAATCTGTTTTTTTTCCTCTTTCCAGAGCCAAGATGATGTTACCATCCAATTGCCGTTTGGCGTGGATTGACAACTTTAGTTAAGGACAAGAGAAACAAATTTCAAACAAATGTAAGTACATAATTATACGTAATAATTGTATGCTTGACTAATTTGGAATATGTACATGTACATGTAGATGGGCCATTCCATGAGAAGAAGGACATGACATCAAAAAAAGAAATGTACCTCTTATGTTAATTCTTTGATTTATCACTAACCTTATGCCATGGATGTTCATAAAACATTAGGGCCTTTCAAATTCAATACAATTTATTTTTCATTTTTGTTGATTTCCTAAGATCTCAAACCATCATCAAAAACGTACATGTGGGACTGTAGATGGAAAAAAAAACAATTTATTGCAGATTACGCAGGATTCTTGTAATATTTTTTCCTGAAAATTTCGCTAAATTGAAAAAGATGAATATATTTCCATATTTTAAGCCTTTTCTAAGGGGTCCTGGGATATTTAATCTATTACATAGGGGTGAAAATGGCCTCCGGACAAAATGTAACGCGAGTTACCGTAGCGTGAGTTACCGACATATTTGCTTCCTGCATTTTACTAGTCCATTGTTTCTTATCTTTAATATTGTGATCTTATACTAGTAAGTCTCCACCTACTATCAACGTAGGAAAGATTTTGTCAAGATTGTCTAGTATGAGGAGACTTTGCCAAAAGAGGGTCTCATAGAATTGACCATGTCCTTTTTTTGTAACGCGAGTTACCAAAATTCAATAATCCAAGAATCTAAAAATGTTTGTTCTTCAATTTTCTTTTTTGTTTCATTCAGTTGTTCTATATCTACCCTGTCCATGTTTGAAAAAAGTATCTTGCAGATCCTAGCAGTTCTAAAGATATAGGCACATTATCGTGTCAATGTACCCATTAGGTGTAACGCGAGTTACCATGGAATGGCCCAGATGCAAATTTAGTGTAGAAGGTGTAAGGTCTTGGGTATAATGGCTCTCCAACTTGACCTTCAAGTTCAAGTTCGTTTATTTAGTTCGTTTATTTATTTCATTTCCATAAAAAACACAGCAAATGCAAATAAACATACAAGTATAAATACATACAAGGAATGGTCAGTTATTACAATAGTTTAAAATGAAATTGGAGAACATAGGAAAGGCCCATGGTGGCTTTGTATAAAAAGTTCCCCGAATATTATAATTTATATTATTTATATTATTGAGCATATATGAGTTCGAGATATCACAAAATATAGCGATAAACACAAAATACAGCAATAAATACAATATAAAGACAAAAAACTACAAACATATGTATGAAATAATCTAAAATTGGAGGCGGGGGGGGGGGGGGGGCAAAAAGGTTTGGAAGGTAAATTTAACGGTACTCAGAATAAAAGGTCTGTTTCATTTTTGTTTTAAATATTGAACTGTTTTTATAAAAGCGGAGGACTTGAGGAAGAGTGTTCCATATGTTTGGCAAAGTATTTCTTACTGATTTTTTAGAAAATGAACTTTTTACTTTCCATAAATGAAACGTGTTACAAAGCCGAGTATTGTGAGTATGAATTTGGTTATTGATCAAAAATATGGAGGATATTCTTTTTGGAAGTATATTTTGAAAAAAATAAAAACCAATTAGTGCAGTATGGTATTTGAACAAATCAAAAACATTTAGGGTTTTTAAACGAAGAAATAACGGAGCAGAGTGGGCATAATAATCACTACCTGTACAAATACGTAGAGCCTTCTTTTGTAATTTTGAACAATGTATTTTGTTATTTTGCGAAGCCATGACAAGCAGGGTTTCTGGATAAGTTATATATATGCAGTGAATCCAGCGATGTACAGGAGATTGGGCCGAGTTCTTGATTTTCACTGGATATCAACCGTGAAATATCATTTTAAATGCAAAGATTGACACCAGGGCTACACTTGTATTTTTCAAATCTTTTTGTTGAGAAAATATAATTTGCATTTGTCTGGATATGGGTGGATCGGAACAAATGCAGTAGTGACTGTCTGATTGGATGTCATTGTCAGTTGTGGATGGAAGGTGACGAATTTGTGGTAATTTGAAAGAAATGGAGGGAGGGGAATGTGTGTGTGATTGTGAAAGTGTGTGATTGAGAGTTAGAGAGAGAAAGAGAAAGAGAGAGAGAGAGAGAGAGAGAGAGAGAGAGAGAGAGAGAGGGAGAGAGAGAGAGAGAGAAAGAGGGAGTGATAGAAAGCGAGGGAGAGACTCTGGACGGAGGGAGGGAGGGAGAAAGAGATTTGAGATAGTCAAACAGAAAACTTGAAGAAAATGAGAGAAAGAGATGTATAAGGATTATGAAAAGCCTAGAGACTACTACCTGGTAGATAGAAGGAGAGAGCGGGAAAGAGAGACAGAGCAGACCAGAGGTGATGGACAGACAGACATACATGCAGTACAGACATACAGCCAGACAGACGGACAGACAGACAGACGGACTGCAGAGGTACTTGACCCTCACAAGGAAACATTACCCCACCAACAATCTAAAAAAAGACAAAAACAATTAAATTGAAAAAATAACCCAAACCATAATCCCCCATCGACTAATTGGCATTCCACTCCATGATCTCATCCTTTGTCCCAACGAGCTTTCATGGTAGTCATCCCATTAATTAATGGGATTGTTAATATCATTAATCGCTTATCATCAAACCTAGGGGACGATGCGCGACCGGTCAGATTTGACCGCAAGTGGCATTAGCTGCGGGGAGATGATTGATGATTCGTCCTGCAAATATTGCACATTTGTTGACCATGTGTTGTGATGGGGTTGGCATTATTAATAAGGTTTGATGTTAAATATTGGTTTATCCATTTTTGTTTTGTTTTGTTTGTATTTAAATGAGTGGGTCCAATGAGAGATATATTGTTAGTTCAGAGCCAGAAGGGGGTTAACTCTGTGTCTTAAATTATGCCCTTCTTGCTCTCAATAGATAATATGGTAAATATATAACGAACTTTTATGTGAAGAGAGAGAGAGGAAATAAGGCATGAGAGTCAGAAGGGGGTTTCCCTTCATGTTTATAAAAGGATGGATGTAGGTTAATGTGGGAACCAGGCTCAGGGAGATTCTGATAAAGAGAGGGGGAAAGATAAGGAAAGAGCAGAGAGAGAGAAAGAGAGAGAAAGATAGATGGAGAGAGAGGGAGAGAGAAAAAGAAAAGAGAAGAGAGACGGAGAGATAAATAGATAGAGAGAGAGAGAGAGAGAGAGATGAAGTTAGATGGAAGGAGAGAGAGAGAGGGGGGGGGGGGTGGAAGAGGGAAGAGGAGAAAGAAAGAGAATGAGAATGAGGAAGGGAGGGGAGAAAGAGAGAGGGATATAAAGAGAGAGAGAGAGAGGGAAAGGGAAGAGAGAGATCGAGCGAGATATACATGTACATGTAGATAGATAGATGGAGAGAGAGAGAGGGAGAAAGAAAGGTGATGATCTGCACTTTCTGAACCAGCCATGCATGAGAAATGAGAAGCAAAAGCTCAGCCAAGCCAAACCAAGAAAAACATCTACAGCCGCTAGACCGGAGCTGGTCGGTGGAAAACTATTGCTAAAGTCCAATCCGTATTACTTGCTCCCTCTGGCTCTCCTTGCCAATGCCAATGTCAACGTCTACCAGAGAGAGGGTTTCTTGGAAAGAAACCCCAAGACTCTTGGGAAGTGACCTTGACTGTAGTTCCTTCGCACGCACTTTCTCAGAAAATGGAGGAAAGGGTGTGGAAACTATGTAAAGAGAAGGTTGAGTTCTAGGAGGACGTGAAAAATAATTTGTGAGCGTCAGCATTGTATTATGCACGTGTGGAAGAACATCAGACAACAAATGTTCCCTGAAAAGCATGGCTATTCAAATGCCTTTATTCTAAATATGGCATGTAACATCATACAAAGCGGGACAGATTTTTACGCCATGTGTTCGTGTAGTCCCATATACATCTGTCTGTGTACAGTACTTGTAACTTAACCAAGACTGGGCCAAATTTCTTATCATTTTGATGATTCCAGAACCTTGCAGTACACACCAATACTTACATGTGTATGCTAGATAATCAACTTTTTTTTATCGATTCCATAACGTTTCTTCCACAATGCAATCGCATGACCAGAACTCAACTTTATCTTTAAGTTAGGAGAAGGGTGCAGGAGCAGCAAAGACGAAAGAGGGGTTTTGTGGATTTCTGATGTGTAAGGAGGAATAGGAGGAATGATGAGTGATGTGGAAAAATATTCTCAGAAAAAAGGGGGTAACCCAGTACACTAGGGGAGAGGAGAAGGGGCTTGGGTAGGAGGGTAGCTATAAAAAAAGAGAGGGATTAAAAAGGGTTAATTCATGATGCAATAACGGTACATGCTCTCAGGGAAAGGGGCAGGAGCAAAGGGGGGGGGGGGGGGGGGAGGGGGGAGGGGGGAGGGGGGGGCAGAAAAAAGAGAAAACAGTTGTATATTACCAGTACATTGGTTGGATGAAGAGCAGTTCAACTACAATAGGTGACGTTCTTACTCCTTTCTAAAAATAAAATGTGAATAGAGGGCAGAAGAAAGGGGGCAAAAGCACCCTGTCATAAATTATTCTTATATTTATTTTGGTATTTTGGGGGTATTTTGTATCTTAGTTTTTTTTCCCTCCATAATATCGGACCTTGTAAACATGTGAATCTCATGTTTTGCTTTAATAAAACATTCAAAGAAAAAAAAGAAAGAAGGAGAAATGAAAAGTAGGGGAAGGGGAATGAATTCATGGTAGTTGACATTTTCAAGCTAGCCTGAAATGAAAAAGTCAGAGGAAAGAGGTAAGGGGGGAAGGACGCAATATTAGCCGGGCTTTAGACCCCACTTATGCCCCCTCCCATCTCAGTTTAAGAAGAAAAATACCACAACAGAGAGAGGTAGGAGGAAGAAGGGGAATTCATCTACACACTCCCTTCTCAAGTACGCATACTTTGTTGAGAAAACAACTGCTGCAGGCCAAATGGGTTACCACGAAAGCACTCGAAGTTGTACAACCATTATCAACAACAAGAGGGATAGACAAAAGGTCAAGTAAGGTCATTGAATGACTGGTCATTCA